CAATTGAGTTATCGATGAATATGATGATGTTGATAGAATTGATGTCGGATGACTGGATTCGATTTTGGATATTAAATTCTCAATCAATGGTCAAAGGCGATGGCTTGAGTTGACTTTCAAGGCGAATTCGATTTTGGAGTCACGATCGTATTTTTTGTTAAAAAGATGTTACTGAAGAAAGAACAGATGATATATGTCGATTGTTAATTTTGGGAGTTGATGGTTGGGGAAGGCTATGAACTCAACCGTGTTGTCGATAATTTTGGATGTTGATATCGATTCGGTTTTGATGATTAGTAACGATCTGGGTTTGTAAATCAATAGTCGATTTGTGTACAACAGAAATCGATGTCGATTTTGATTGTTGGATGTGAGTTCAACGGTTTGAATAATTGGAATCGAATTTGCTTTTGTGATACATAGATGATGAACAGTTACTAGTTCTTGATTTCAAAGAATCGAAATTTGGGAAGAACTGTAAGAACGAGAATTTGGGGTTATTGAACGAAGGGTATTTGAGAATTAGACAAAGGGTTGATGATTGATATACGAAGAATTGATGAACTATAAGAACGAAGAATGAAGAACTGGGTTAACATACGAAGGGTTGATGATTGAACGAACGAAGAATGGTTACTGTTCATTACTGTTCATATATAAGTCTTCGTATGCTTCGTATGCTGAGAAATTTTTTGTTTGATTGGGGAAGATGGAGTTTCATACGAAGAGGAGAGAGAAAGAAAAAGTTTCGTACGTTTTGAGTTTTGATTGTCTTCGTATGTTTCATCAAAAAAAAGCTTTGTATGTTTCATCAAAAAGCTTCGTATGAATTGAAAAAGCAAACGTTTCAAAACAGCCCCTGAACCTTCGAATATTTGGCACTTTGAAAATTAAATGAAGTTTCGTATGTTTGACACTTTTCACCCAAATTCGAAAAATTTTTGGAGCTTCGTATCTTTGGGACTACTCTTCGTATGTTTGGTGCATAATGGCAGAATTTTCGAAAATAGTCCCTGAGGCTTCGAATGTTTGGCGGTTCATACCCATTTTCGAAAAATGACTGTTTTTGCTTAAAATTGAAGAAAATGCATTTCAGGCCCCTACAGTTTGTGCAAATTGACGATTTCTACCCAGCTTTGAAAAAGGGGGAGAGTTTTGCATATTTGGCTGTTTTGGGCGCACCGGGTCACTGCAGAATTTTGAAATTGACAATTTCTACCCATTTTTGAGAAATTTTGTCAAAGGCGATCCGTGAACGAAGCTAAAAATTCAATATTTTTTGGATTTTCCGGATTGAAGCACATAGTTTATGCCACATGTTAAGGGGGAGTTTTGACACGAAAAATTCCGAATAGAGCACGTTCTCTTTCCTTGAAGGTTTTATAATCAAATTTCGATTATAAAAAGGGGGAGAAGTTTTATATGGAAATTCGAACTTGAATTTTTCATATTACGCGGATTTGAAGACTGAAGTGACCTTGATTTTTGAAGTCTACGAAATGATGCAATTGGATGTTCGAAAATGATGTATTCGAAATGGGTTTGGTTTTATTGAAGATTTTTGGGGTGTGTTTTTATGCGCAACTTTTGGGTGATTATTTGGAGTTAATCATTCGTTGCTGCTCGGTTTGTATGGTTTCACATCCTAGAGCCCAAATTGAAGAATCATGGAAGAATTGAAGATTGAAGTTCGTTTCGACATGTGTCACGCTTGAGGCTCGGGTCGCGTAGTTGCTCGATTTTGGAAGATTTGAAGTGGGTCATTCATTCCTAACTTTGAGGGGGAGAATGTTGGGGTGCAAAGTTCTTCATGTATGACTTTGTAATGGTTTGACTCTTGTAGACCCACTTGCATGTGGTGCATTAGCCTTTAGACCCATGTGTTAATGAGCGTGAGAGAGAGACATGTAAACACCTCTATAAATAGTGGGTTCATACCACTTGTAGAGGTGTGCTTGAGAGGTGTAAAAGTGAGTGTGTAAGTGTGTGTTATTTATTTAGATGTAGATGTATGTCCCTTTTTGTAACACCATACATATTCAATACATCTCTTGAACACCCAAATCACCATGTTCATTGTGCAAACTTTAATTCCGCATGTCAAACCATGTTCTTATGTCACTACAGTTAGGTTTATAAATTTAAAACCGGTAGTACATAAATTGCACATCAACTAGTAAAGAGTGGAACAAGTACACAAAAAGCACATTTTAGATTAGGGGGTCCCATATCCCTTATTTTGGTTAAGATGTCATAATGAAACCTTTTGATAAGAACCAGAAATTATGTATTTGCTAAGTTGTGCAATTCGAACATTAAGTATTTGTACCATTGTTGGGTAGTGTAGGGTCTATCCAAGCAAAGTAGTCATAACCTTCGCTTGAACACCAAGCAAAATGGTAACAAATGCTTTACCTTGAAATTAGGGCTACAACCTAGGTTTTTTGGTGTCCATGAAGTCCACATTATGCATTCATGTCTACAGTCATGCGTATTCATTAACCTTACCTTGCCCTTCAATTGACACTTCCAGCTGAAGAGGATGAAGTCAAACACTTTTTCCCTTGTGTGAATTATTGCTTTTGATAGTCTATGAGCGTTAATTAGGTTTCGATTTAACCCAAACATCTTATTGAATGACATGGGGTCCACATCAGCCAGGGAACCAATTACGTGAGTGGTAACCTAGCATGAGACATATTTTTCAAGGTTGGCAATACATTGCGCTTAATCGTTAACAAAACAAAACAAAAACAAAACAAAACAAACAAACTTGGTATGACTTTTTCCTTAATAGAGTTAAAGTTTATGGACTTTTTTTGGAGATCTCCCTTTACAGAATTGAAGTATCAACTCATATAGCCTTTTGTTAAACACGATTTTAAAACTATAAAGATATGAAACAAAGTTAGGGAGTTAATTATTGTTACGATCAGTTTATCTTAATTTATTTATGAAACAAATTTTATGAATTGCATAATTTTTAACAATTTATTGATTTATTTTTAGGTTTATTGTGGACTTTTTTCATGTTTTATATTCTTAAATGTATATTTTTATAAATAATACAAACTTTTTGTTTATGTATTTTAATATATTATGTTAATATAACTAATGGATAGTGGTAATCAATGTCTATCATCACGGACTATACGTACATATAACAACACCCTCAAAACCGGGTACATTTACATAAAAGCAGCTCTAATTGAGACTTTTTAAAGCTTATTACTATTGATTTTTTTTATTAAGCATTTATTACCATTTGAGCATATAACTTATTTGTTTTTTTATATTGATCATTCAATATGTATTGAGTAACCCCTCATACTTAAGTTATATTATATTTTACTCTCTTAAATATATTTTAGTTTTAAATATATTTATTTATTTACTAATTAATTATTTCCATTATAAATTTAATGACATTTCATTTATGAAATAAAATTATAATGAGTATATTGTTTTTCCAATCTTTTTTATGACTATTCTGTAATAGTTTTTCCATATTAATTTTTTCGAATGATATGTTGTAATATATTTTTTTTGAAACAAAGTATTGTAATATTTTTAATAAATAAAAATACGATGTGGTTCAAAAAGAAAAATATTAAATAAGGGGATTTTATAGAACATTTTAGATAGATATGAACAATTAGTTAAATTATAAATATTAAAAAAAAAAAAAAAAAAAAAAAAAAACTATTTGAAGAGGTTAACCATTAGAAATAATTATCTATTTAGAGGTTAAAATTATTGAAATGATGATGTGACAATAGTTTTAAATCTTAATACTCCCTTCATCCAAAAATTATAGTCCATCTTTTCTTTTTGGTTTATCCCAAAATAATAGTCCACTTCTAAAAATTAATAACATTTTTACCAAAATACTCCATCATTATTACTTAACCTACTAAAACATTAAATGCAAAATAAGACAAAACTGTCATTTTATTGTATAAAGTTAGTGGTAATTAATGTTTCTTTAATCTGTGTATTTTTTGTTTGTGAACAATAATTTTGGAACGGAGGGAGTATAACTTAACCGTTGGAAACGCTTGACTTTAAGAATTAGTAACTAGGATGACCTAGTAAAAGTTTCCACAAAAACATGATTGCCTAATTATACATTATCTTTATTCACTTCCTTTTTATTATTAAGTACAATTTCTCCTTATTTTACTATTTTGAATATATATATATATATATATATATATATATATATATATATATATATTATATATATGATTTACTATTTAGTATTAATCATTTCTTGAATTTAGCACCTTTAAGAAGTTTCAAATTATAGAATTTTCTTTTTCATTTCGGCGATTATGTCAATAGTCTGAATAAATACTTTATTGAATGATATGTTAGCTCAAAAGTTGACTAAAGGAGTATCAATGAATCAATCTAACTTTTCAATCTAAAATAGTTGTACAAGTTATTACAATCCCACCAAAAAGAACTTCCATTTTGTCTCTTATGTGACAAGGATTAATTCCATTCAAGCTAATATTTTTTTTTATATAACCTTAATAAGAAAAACCCATTTTACACAATAACATGCCAAATCCCATAGTGAATCCATTTCCCACTTTTTAAGTGATAAAATAATTACAATTTGTCTATTGACATCAGTATCAGTATCATCGTCCCAGTCAGCATTTTATGTCATATACCCATCCTTACGCAACAAATGAATTAAAACCACATAAAATACAAGTTTACCAAACTTTTTACGAAAATAAAATAAATCAAACAGACGATAATTCACCATTAATCGGTTAATTCAATTATAACCAACCAAATAACCATTGATCGCGTACGAATCCACCATAAAACAATACATATCCAATAGTTGTTTCAGATAAACATCATTGCCACATAAGGTTAGACAGTGGTAGAGCATCAAACGAGTTTAATTCTCTCACATAAAAATCACTATTCCAAATCCACGCTTCATTGTGTATTAGTTTGTATCCATACATACAATTTGCCACGTGTTATTTTGATGACTGGACCTATTCAGTCATTTTTTACAGAGATTGGATACAAATTCCCATTGTACTAATCAAGGGTCCAACAAAGGACCACACTTTAACTTGATTAGGTGTAACCAGTTCATCCACATGAAGCAATAACCAATAGGACAAAACCCAACCCAAACTCAAATCACCACCACTTACTTCATGACTGGTTGAGATATGCTGGTGAAATTACTAAAATGCCCTTTTCTTTTTTTGTTACCTAAAATTAAAACCCGTGTGTTTTGAAACATTATAAATGAATACGAAACCCGTATTTTGTTTTTCTAAAACAGTTTGAAGAAAGGATTATAAGATTATTCTCCACCTGAAAACAGCATTCAAGTGGGTAGACCCCAAGATTTAGGAGACCTCTTTTTGTTAAAAATCTTATCATAGCATCATACTTTTCCCCTACCTTCACCTTTTTCTCCTCAATATATCAAACAAATCTTATAACTCCTCTTCACCATCTCTCTCTCTCTCTCTCTCTCTCTCTCTCTCTCTCTTTTTCTATCTCTCTCAAAACATACAAAAAAAGAGCTCCTAAAATGGTGAATAATTACTCTCTTCTAAAACTTCATCTCATTATCATTTTCTTTTACATATCAATATCATCATTGATTTTATATATATATATATTTTTTTTTTCAAACAGGTTTTGGCTGTTTCAAATGGGGAAAAAGACGATACGGTTTCCCTTGATTACAAAGGAAACCCAGCTGACAACTCAAAAACCGGTGGTTGGCTTGCAGCCGGATTAATTTTAGGTAACTATTTATTTGTTTATTACACTTTTGGTCCCTGAGTATATCTATTTTTTGCAATTTTGATCCTTATTTAATGTTTCTTGTAACGTTTTTGGTCCCTATATCCAAAAAATAATTTGAAAATGGACCAAAAACGTGAAATGAGAACAAAAATTGAGGAAATCAAGTATACGCAAGGGTTAAAAATGTAATTTATAATTTTTTATTATTATAATTGTAGGGACTGAGCTGTCTGAGAGAATATGTGTGATGGGTATATCGATGAATTTGGTGACATATTTGGTGGGGGAATTGCATCTTTCATCATCAAAATCTGCGAACACTGTGACAAATTTCATGGGAGCTTTAAACATTTTAGCCCTTTTTGGTGGGTTTTTGGCGGATGCTAAATTTGGACGTTACCTCACCATTGCTATATTTGCATCTATATGTGCTGTGGTAAGCAATTCAATTAACCATTTTCATTTTCGTCCTTCATTTTTCTTTCTATGTCCAAATCTAGACCAAATTACAGCATTCTATTTCTAGGTAATTTTGCGGGTTAACCAGTTATGATTTAGAGTCAAGTTACATTTTTGGTCCCTGAGTATAGCTGATTTTTGCAATTTTGGTCACAAAAAGTTCTATTGTAATTTCATAATTTGTCTTTTTTTGAGGTACTTGTAGCAATTTTGGTCCCTGTTCCAAGTTAAATAACTAGTTTTGGTCCCTGAGCATAGCTGGCTTTTGCAAATTTGGTCCCAAAATTATACTCATTTTATTTGGAACAGAAACCAAAAACCTCAAGTCCTCCAATAAAGTCCGAAATTGCAAGAAAAAACTTTTTTGGACCAAAATTGAAAAGATAAGTTATACTCAGGGACCAAAAATGTAATTTACTCTATTTTTTATTTTTATCAATCAAATCAAAATTCCATACATTTTTCCAAATCAACCATTTTGAGCCAGGTCAAAATGGTAAATTTCCAACAAAATTTAGCAGTAAAACCCAATATCAAAGTGGTTAATAATTTGGAAAAATGTTTTTGATTGGAAAAAAAATAAAGTATTAGTAGCTAAACTGGTGAAAATGCCCAAGATATAATAGGTTTTTTTGTAATTTTTATTTTCCCACAAATCTATAACCCAATTTCCAAAAAATTATATGCAACTGCTTTTGCTAAAATGAAATATAAGGAAACAAAAGAGCATTATCAATATTAACCAGTGAAACTACTTTGCCTAAATTTAGGTTGAATAAGGATCTTAAACTTAAACCCATTTTGGGTCAATTAGGCTACAAACTTTTTGTTTACTTTTACTTTAATAGTAAAAAATATTTCATAAAAAAAAATTTAAAAATTTTGCTGTGACATATGACAGGGGGTGACACTGTTGACATTAGCAACAAGCATTCCAGGCATGAGGCCACCTCATTGTGATCAACCTAGGAAACAACAATGCATAGAAGCTTCCGGAAGCCAACTAGCAATGCTTTATGTTGCACTTTACACAATCGCGTTAGGTGGAGGTGGGATAAAGTCAAACGTTTCGGGTTTCGGGTCAGACCAATTTGACATTTCTGACCCTAAAGAGGAGAAAAAAATGGTTTATTTTTTTAACCGGTTTTATTTCTGTATAAGTCTCGGGTCCCTTTTTGCGGTGACTGTGTTGGTGTATATACAAGACAACGTGGGACGCGGTTGGGGCTACGGGATTTCGGCGGGTACCATGATTGTGGCCGTCGTTGTCTTGGTTTGTGGGACCGCTTTGTATCGGTTTAAGAAACCGCAAGGAAGCCCGTTGACGGTTATTTGGAGAGTCGTGTTTTTGGCTATTAAAAATCGAAAGCAAACTTATTCGAATCCCGAGTTTTTAAATGATTATAGCAACTCCAAAGTTCCACACACAAAGAGATTCAGGTATACATATACTTATACCCTTTGGGCAATTTTGTAATTTAACCGCTTATAAATAATGTACTTAGGCTGTATTTGGCGCATCACAGCTAGCTTATTTTTCAGCTAGCCCTTAATTAATTATAGAAACACATTCTTTTAAATGCCCTTTTATGTCTTTTTATATCTTTCAGCTAGTTTTACCAAACGTCATTTTTTATCAGCTAGGTTTTCAGCTTAACAGCTAGCTTTTTTATAAAAAAAATGTATTGATTTCCTTTATATTATTATAGGTGTCTTGACAAGGCCGCAATACTAGATGAATACGCATCTTCAGAAGAAAACCGAAACAATCCATGGATAGTGTCAACCGTGACACAAGTTGAGGAGGTCAAAATGGTCATAAATTTAATCCCGATATGGTCAACATGTATTCTCTTTTGGACTGTGTACTCACAAATGAACACTTTCACAATAGAGCAAGCGACTTTAATGAACCGAAGCGTCGCGGGTTTTAGCATACCCGCAGGGTCGTTTTCGGTATTTCTCTTCATATCAATTCTCCTATTCACATCTCTAAACGAAAGGGTGGTTGTCCCTATAGCGAGAAAGATAACTCACGATCCAAAAGGGTTGAGAAGTTTACAGAGAATTGGGATTGGGCTTGTTTTATCGGTTGTAGGTATGGTGGCGTCTGCAGTTGTTGAAAAGAGACGAAGAGTAATGCATGGAAAAATGACGGAAATTTCGGCTTTTTGGTTGGTTCCTCAGTTTTTCTTGGTGGGAGCGGGTGAGGCGTTTGCTTATGTGGGACAACTTGAGTTTTTCATAAGGGAAGCACCCGAGAGGATGAAGTCCATGAGTACAGGGTTGTTTTTGAGTACTTTGGCTATGGGGTATTTCATGAGCAGTGTATTGGTGTCGTTGACTGATATGGCGACTAATGGGAGTTGGCTTACGAATAATTTGAACAAGGGTAAATTGGAGAATTTCTATTGGTTGCTTGCGATTCTTGGAGCAATAAACTTTTTCGCTTTTTTGGTTTTGGCATCGAGGCATCAGTATAAAGTGCAAAACTTTATTGGGCCTAAAAGTGAAAAAGAGATTGAGAATTGGGGTATTGATATGGTTGATGATGTAGAAGTGAAGAAGGCTGTTATGGGCGGGAAGGAAGAAGCTTAGAGTGTGTGTTTATGTGTGTGTGTGTGTTTAGATAGTTTATATAGTTTTGGTGGTAGATGTTTTATGTTGATTTGAGTTGTTTTTATATGATTGGTGAAAAGGGTATTTGTAAGATATTATTAATACACACCCTTTCTTTGTAATTCCCATTCTCTTTAGCATCCTTAAAATTGCATAATTGCATAACTTTTAATTAGTTTATATCTTGGATTTTGGTAATTGGATGAATTTGTATTGTTGTTTCAAAAATTAATTTGTGATTGTCTATGTTGTAACCATGAATATAAACATGGATGTAAGGTTTTTGGACATTTTTGGATGTAGATGTGGATATGGTTATGGCAACATTGATTCCATTTTGCTCAAGTTACACCACTAGTGTCCACCTAAGACAACTAATTTCTCTAATACTAGTATACTACCACAAAATGTAAAGATTATAATATTCTTTAGAAGATTCAAGGTATTAATTTGGTACTTATTCATCTTAGCATTTATAAATATGCCGAGAAACAAATCAAGTATTTCATATAGGAATAGGTCTATAACTAGAGGAGTAGAAGTAGAACATTACAAATTTATGCATCTTCAAAAAAACAAGTAGCTTTCCTTCATATTATGCGTACCTTAACTAAACTGAATGATCTGCAAATGTTATCAACTACAGGATATTAGTGCTTTATCAGAAAAGAACTTAGACCACCTTTCACACATCAGCTTGAAATGTGCATCTGATACCCAAAAGGAAATCCTGAATTTTGACAAACTAATAAAAACACAGAATTAGGAAAGAGAAGAGAAGAGAAGAGGGTAATGTCAAACACAAAAACAATGTATAACATGTAAATTTCACAATAGAATTTGAACTAATTAACTCAATCAAATGATGTGAAGTAAATTAAGTACTTACACAAAAAGATATTAAGCAGCCTGTTGAGAAGAGTTGCTTGCAGGAGCAGGAGCAGGAACATGGCTCACAACCAAAGGTGGACGACAGACACGGTGTTTTGCTTCTTTTTCTTTGCGTGCTTTAAACATTTCTTCAGTCTCAATTACAACCAATCTTTTAACCTGGATAAAACATTAGATGGATTAATGATTAATCAATCTATATAGAACCAAAGAAAAACTTCCTCTAATACAAATGCATTGCACAATTTAAGTCTTTAAGAACCTGTTGAAGCATTCCTCTAACAGTAGGAGTATTCCATCTCATAACAGTTCGATTGCATTTTCCTAAACGCAATGCTTCTAAAGTGCGCCTGTGAAGTTTCCTAGTTCCTGGAATTCCCCTCACCAGAGTTATGTACAGATTGGGACTCCATGCTATTGGAGCACATGCTTTGTAAGCCTTGTACGCATTCATCTTTATGTCTTCTGAAAGCTGAAATTGGATTAAACAAACTTAATCAGCAACAATACTTGTTACTAACCTGATACAGTATCAGTTACACACTATACATGATAAGAAGAGACAGACATTTCAACAAACAGTTTCAGTGCACTCATTCAGACTGAAAATCTAACATACAAACTGGTTGCTCTTTTGATTGTTGGAGTACAATCGCATCCATATCCGATTGTAGACCCTTACTACTCTTAAAAGCTGACCGGATTATCAAATCAAACGATTTCACAAATATCTGATCGGTATAACGCAATAAACCAATTAATTAGGTTACGATGGTGAAATCTTAAGCTGGAACTGAATCAATTAAAGTCATAACACGCTAATCGAATGATAAAACCACATATGAAAAAGAAAAGGAGGCAATTCAACTTTTGAGCTGAAATGTTGATAAACCGTAGCCGATTCCAAGTAACAATAACAAAGAAACCGGCGAGAGGGAGAGAAGAACCTGAGAGAGGTGAAGTGATCTGCGTAATTGAATGAGCCGCCGCCGACGAAAACTATTTGTGCTGGTTAGGGCTATTTATCGCGCTGCTGCAGCAGAAGTGATGCATAGCTTTTCGATGTGTCAATTTTTCGATTTAATTTGGAAGTCATTCAAGTTTTATCAGGGTGGAATTGTTACAGTACTAAGTTTTTTTCCTTTAAACTGTGTACAGTACCAATTATAGTTGGCATAAAGTTTTACCTACCAATATCGTACCAACGATATTTGGCACCAACTTAGTTGGCTACCAACAAATTTGGTTGGTACATATTGGTGTTGGTATATACCAAAATATTTAAATAATATATGTATTTGAAGAGTTTAAGACTTGATAATATATATAAGACTTCACATTATAATCATCACTGAATGGTTAGAAAGTTTTCCAAATATGAATGTGAGTTGAAGTTGTGGTCGTCACTTGTGTTAGTAAATCATTTTAGTGTCATGTACCTTGTTTAACCTTGTGTTAGTAATTTCTTGGGTAAATTACACCATTCGTCCCTCATGCATGTGCCCAAAAGCACGTTTAGTCCCTATTTTTAAAAATTAACTCGGACCGTCCCTGGTTTTGTTTTTTCTTGCACGCTTAGTACCTATTGACATAAAATGACTATTTTGCCCTTAATAATTTGTTTTTTAATTTATTTTAATTTATTTAACAGTTTAAATTAATACAAATAATAAAAAAATAAAAAAATATTTGTCCAAACCCACCCACCCCTCATTTCCCTTTCCCAGATTATATCCTTCTCTCTCACCTATTCATCTTCCTTTCGAACTCATCTTCCTCTCTAATGATCGGCGCCCCTGAAATACTCCGACGAGATCATGAAACCATCCACCCTCAATGGATGATGTAGAACAAAAGCAACAGTAGAGAGAGAAAGAAGTTGGTGGCGGTTCAAATCTGTGTTTCAGATGGGAGTTTCATATCCAACAGAGCTGGTGGTGTTTAGGGTGGTTTCTAGTAGAAAAATTCTCCCTCTTTCTCCTCTAAACCCACCGATCAGAGGGAGAAAGAAAGTGATGGAAACAAAATCGATGAGAGGAAGAAGAAGAGGAAGAGGAGATCAAGGAGATCCATGGATTTGCACTTCGTGGATCTGCACTCCGCCGATATGAACGCTAGAGATCGTCTCTTCGAACTCTTCTAGGTGGTGGTGCAGGAGACTTCTGGTTTAGAGATGAAGAAAGAGACAGAGTGGTTTAGCGAAGTCTGGTCGGAGATGGAGGGGACGACGACGTCTGGTTGGAGAAGAACGTTGTCTTCCCCATTTTGATTTTGCCCTAATTATGGATTGTTTGCATAATAATTAGTTTTTTTTATATTTTTTGGGTTTTCTGGTAGTGATGATTGAGCGATGATAGGTGGTGTTCGAAGGGGGTGGGGTGAGCTGAGTGCAGATTTCTGGTGGTGGTTGTCTATGTTTCTGGTGGTGGTTGTGCAGGTTTTCGGTGGTGCTGCAGATTTCCGATGAGGGTGGTGGTTTAGTGTTCTTCGAAAAAAGAGAAATAACATGTAAAAGTGTTAGGTGGACCCATAACTTTAATTTAAATATTTTTTAATAACTAAAAATAATCAAAACTATTAAAAATAAATGAAAAAGAAATTGCAAAGGGCATTTTGGTCATTTCAAGTCTCACAGGGATGAAACATGCAAATTTAAACTAACGAGGGATGAAGCATGCACCTTTCTATGATATAAGGGATGGTCCGAGTTAATTTTTGAAAATAGGGACTAAACATGCTTTTGGGCACATGTACGAGGGACTAATGGTGTAATTTACCCTAATTTCTTTTACTATAATGCTTCGTTTAAAAAAGAATCAACATCAATAGAATTATATTAGTAACTCCGACTATTACTTGTTAGTTGTTACACCTAATTAAAAATTGAAAATGTAAGAATTGATATATATATATATATATATATATATATATATATATATATATATATATATATATTGGTTGGTATGGTACAACCGTGGTATTCAAAAATTTGTACCGTTACCGTACCAAGACTACTTAATTGGCATGGTATTACCGGCCAAACATATTGGCTACCAAACATGTTGGCTACCGATTTTATTGGTTCGGTTGGTAACATGTTGGTTGGTTCTCCGTGGTACATATTTGTCAGCCCTAAGTTTTATGAGTAAATTACATACTTAGTCCCCTGGGTTATGTGTTTTTTCTGAACCAAGTCTATTTTTATCAATGTTAACACGTGAGGACATGTATCGTTTTATCATGTGTTTTGGATTTGGATGGTCCCTTTGTACAAATATCGTTTGCCAATTCACGTGCCAAGCATATGAGGTAAAAATCGTCTTTTTATGTATCACTTTCATGTTTATAAACTTTGAAAACAAAATTTTGTTTATTTCTCTGTCATATATGTTCACTCTCTTTCTTATCTCTTCAATGTTCACATGGTGTTGGGAAAGCTTAAAAAATGAGTTTTTAACTTGCTATCGGTTTCACATTGGTATAAGTTAAAATTAGTATTTGGATAGAATTTTTTAAAAAACAACTTATAGTTGTCTCGCACAAAGATAAGTCATTTTTTATAAGTTAGTCTGCCTTAAATTATCAAAAACTCTTAGACGCTTCTTTGAAAACTCTTTTTTTGTACCTCTAGAATAAGGATGTTGATGGCACACCAAAAGATTTCTCTGATCTTTTTAAGATAAACAGATTAATACATAATAGGTGGTCATAACATATGTAGCTTCCCATACAACTCTCTAGGGATGAGATCAGTTCCGAAACATGAAAAAACCGACCCAAAACCAAGAAAACCTACACCAAAAACTAGAAATTCAAGGAACCGAGAACCGAACCAACTTATAAGGATACGGTACTAGTTCGGTACGAGTAACAATTTTCGGGTATAGAATCAAATAGAACTGAAACTTATAAAAAAATCACCCCCCAGCCCATGTTTAGGGTTGTGTAACTAAACTAATTCCTAACTAATTGAGGTGGTTATTGATCCTAAAACGTATTCAAGACACATAACAAAAAACTGGAAAAAAACCAACTTATTCGGAGTTTATATGAAAAAAATTATGGTTGTTCAAAATTGACTTAAAGTTTCTGCACAAACTAAAATCAACCCTAAGATCCCCTATTTAGGTCTTTGTACTCGACCAATTATTAACCAATTAAGGTGGTTCTCAAGTCTAAAATGTATCCAAGACATGGAACTAAATGCTCAGAAAAAAAACCCAACTCGTTCAGAGCTCGTATATAAAATTTATGGTTGTTTAAAGTTTACTAAAAATTCTACACATCCATGTTTAGGGTGTGTGCAACTCATCCAATTCTTAAATAATTAAGGTAGTTCTTGATTCTAAAATGTTGTAAAAAAATCAAGTCATTTTGACATTGTACAAAAAATTATGAGGTTCGAAAAGTGGTTCTTTAAATGTTGGTTCTAAACCTGAAAAAATCAATAACAAATTACCCAAAGCCCGAAAAAACGAAACAAATTTTCAGAAATATGGCGAACTAAGAGTGTAACATTCAGTTTCGAGATGTTTCTAATTTCAGGATAGCGGACCGTAAATTGATCGAATAGAGGTTTTGGGCCTCAAAGGAATAGCGTTTAGACCCTATTGGATTATGATAATGTTGGTTGAGTGATTTAAGCCCTTGAATTGTGTTTTGGAACCAAATGGTAAAATGGGAAAAGTGATGTTTTGGACTTCTTGCATGAATTAAGGAATTTAGTTTGACATGTTTTAAGTCAAAAGTAATTAGATAGAATTGTACGGTTTGTCAATACATTCGCATGCATATAAAGATCACTGAAAACGAAGCTGAAACAAAGAAGTTATGATTATTTTGATGGGTTTTTGTGACATCCCCATTTTCATGGCCAGAAAAGACCGATTATGTTTATGCTTTATAAAAATCAGAGTACGTCTTTTAATAAAAATCTTGCGGAATTTGTTCCCAGAAAAACATGATAAATACGTTATCAAAGCATTTCTGAAGAAATGTATTTTTATTCATTTTCAAAACCTTTGGGATGTCATCGTCAATACAGAAACATAAGCATAAACAGAACTTACATTCATTTACACTAGTGATCTACATATCTTTTAAATCTCTCGGTGTAAAGTAGCTTCATATCGACACATGTGATACAAATAAGCTTGAGTGGGTCAGGTTGGGAAACCTGGTGAGTACATAGGGTTTTCAACCCACAATAATATAATTATTATGTTTAAACATCAAACAATCAACCCAATTACCCATCCCCATTATCTTCTTTACTCTTGAGGATCTACCCTAAGAATCAGCTATTCTTCGTTCATTCATTCCTAAGGATTATCCTATGGAATAGGCACGAAATCCATCGTTGCTATTGACACATTTGTCAAGCACAACTGCTAATATTATCACTTAGGCGCATCTGCCATAATTGTGACATTCTTTATGGGGCGCATCTGCCGGTATAGTCCTTTAGGCGCATCTGCCGGGGTTATGAGGTTCTCTATTAGGCGCTTCTGTCGGTAGAGTCCTTTAGGCGCATCTGCCAGGGTTATCTCGTTTATTGACAGTATCATTTTCGAGAGTTCACTCGCAAATACATGTCAATGGGTTTTTAGAGTACACCGGTGAACACATCGTTCACAACACCTACAGGTTGCGAGCCTTCTAGTGTTCCACTGGACTGTCTAGAATAGTCCGTGGTTGTCATCCATACTCTGCTAGATGACGGGGCCAACATTTGGGTAAAAGGTTTCTCACATCGTCCATCTCTCACCCTCACCTCATGGTCTATTTCACCTCTCACCTCATCATCCGACTCATATTTCATCTACCCATGTTTTACGTAACATATTTTGTAGATATAAAATATATATACAGTTTAAATCATTTAAAACATGTATAAAATCATTCATCCGGCATAGATAGCAAGTATACAGATAATATGCACACGTAGCACGTAATTTATATAAAATACTTCATATCTATGTGTAAGATGAAAGTAACTATGCACTCACCTGGTAAGGTGGTGACTCGGTACTCGGACAGCACTTCGTTATCTCAAAACAATTTTCCCTTGACAAAACCTAGTATCAATACCACTATGGTTTAGTCTAACGTTAATCACGACTAATTAATAGTCTAGCTATTATTACTATTATATAAGCGTTAAACAATACTTATATAACCCATAATAATAGCCCAAGTTTTTATTATAAGTTCCTAATAACGTTACTATAATTAAATAAAAGCTATATTAAAAATAGCGTAGGCGTAGCTCACTTACAACGGGTTTTATAGAAAATCGGGCTTCGCTTGGAGCAGCGTTTCTGAACCGAAAGACCCTTTTTCTCAGGACTCCGGGAGCCTCGGGGCTTCCTTCGGGTGCTAGGGGGTTTACCTAGACTTTAGGGGGCTTAAGGGGGGCTAGAGAGAAGTTCTAGAGAGAGAAGGAGAAGATGGGAAGGTGTGAGAATGAATGGAACCCGACACCTCTATTTATAGGTTGAATTCCTGATGGACTCGCCGAGTCGGGTCACTGACTCGCTGAGTCAGTGCCATGTGTCATCACCTGATGGCTTTTCTTGGGGAGAAAGCCTTGGCCCATATTCAGCCACGTCACCCCTTTTGCAGCAGCACCCTGCCGACTTCTAAACTCCGTAACTTTCGCATACGAGCTCTGTTTTCGACGTTCTTTTTTTCCACGCGTAGGTGAAAACAAGATCTACAACTTTCATTTAGATTCCGTCGGCTAATTCTCGACT